CATCTAGGTTCTGAGTCTCTTGAAACCACTTGATCATTTTGGAGACCAGCTGCTTTGACACTCTGGACGAGGTAAATGACCGAACAATGTCACAATTCCGATGACCGACCTGATGGAGCTCAATTATGGCAGCTGTAATTGTTTTCATGCTAAATACAAATTTATATTGTCTCATTAGGACTTTTGGTGATAATTTGGCTTTCATAACACGTAAGCAGATACAAAAAACTAGAAATAGTGACAGTAACACTTTATTTGACTTCATCAGAGCGCGTCAAAAAAAGTCAACGAACTTTTTAACCACCCTGTATATATATATATATATATATATTTTTTTTTATTATTATATATATATATGGGCATAGCCAACATCCTCCATTGTGTCCTTCAGAATTAGGCGAGTATGAGGTCTGGGATGTGGCTCATCCCCCCTCATACCTCCAATACCAGCAGTTGCTGTGGAAGGATTTATTTATATATATATATATATATGTGGATTGATTGGACAGATGGAGCAGCATACTGCTTGGGCCAGATGAATCGAGATTGTTGGTACCTATATACATTGAGCCACCCATTTGGGGAAGGTGATGAATGGCGGGGAGTTAATGAGCCTGACCAGACCCTGGAAGTTCTCATGATGGATCTGGATACAGATGCCATGCAGATCTTCACTCGTCAGGCCAGCTCTGATGCTCGACAGGCCACTCAGGTACTCTTTTGCCTCTTCTTCTCACTCCAGAATCATGTGGTGGGGAAACACAGAGATGTCTTAATTCTATAAGTCTATCTGTGACTCCTCCAAGTGGTATTTGCTGTAGCTTGAGTTTGTGAGATTGTGTGTTCAGCAAGTAGAAGTGGTTATTGCTATTTTCTGGCTGTGATTGAATGGGAACTTTTGATGGAGTGGTGTATCAGATGATCAAATTTAATGCTTTTCTTCAATGGTGGACTATTGATTTTCAACAAAATTTCCTTGACAAAACCCAGAGAAATCTTACTTTTAAAGAAAGTGTACAACTGTGGAAATAGCATTGGACACATGTTTATAGTCTGAATGGGAGGTGGTGACATGAATCAGCAACCTTTGTGGTAACTGCCTAGTGGAGAAACAGGAATAGTATTGCCTCCTTCAGGCTATAGGTTACAGCAAGAGATGTGAGACATTCAGGAAGAGATACTCTATTCCTATAGTACCTATGTACCTTTTAGCGGTATAGCATGTGCTTTACCTTGACATTCTCAGTATAGTATGTGCTCTACCTTCCCTATGTGCTTTTTTGGGTTTTCACTAAATCTAAGCACACTGCATAAGAACTAACTATTAACACATACCAAGAATACAACATACCAAGAGCCACATTCCTTCTTTGTTGGGCCGAAAGAGCAAGAAAGTCAACCTATTTTGGAGGATGATATGTCAGTTGGATTAGAGAATAATTGCTGCCTTTGACTGCAACCTTTTTCTAACCCCACTGACTCATCATCCTCCAAAATACATTGACTTTCTCACTCTTTGGCCTTTGACACTGAACCTGGGAGAAAATAATGGGGTCCACCAACTGTGCCAGTGCGATGATGGGTCTGGCTGGAACGACAAACACTAGACCGGTAGGGTGTAGGAAAACGTGCCATGAGAATGAAAAATATATTACCAATTTATCCATACAGATATATGTATAATATTAACACTTATTTTCTCCCTAAGGCATGGTAACAGATTCTGAAGTTAACCCCCCTTGCCATCTCTTTTTTAGCTACCTCCTGGGCAAGTGAGGTTTTGCTTGCTTGCCCAGGAGGTAGATCACACCTTACGGTAGAGTGCATGCTATACTGGCACCCCTTTTTATAGTGCCTGCATAGGCTGAATTAGTGCCATGCACAAACATATCCAGGCCAAGATCATTTTGTTGTTTTGCCATCAGGTGGTGTGGCAGTCCAGCCTTAGGCTACTCTTAGGATATACATGGGCTTCAATGAGTGCTTCTCACTTCTCAAATCACTGGAAGTGTTTCCAGGATGACCAACCCTACATTGCTACAACCATATTGCATCCAGAGGTGCCAATATCACCAATGTACTTGTCAGGCAAGAACTGGGCAATATTAGCATTTAAATAATAAAAAAGACCCTCAACTACATAGTTTTTTTTTAATTGGAAGAATTAGGCTTTTCATACCTTCGAAGATATGAGGAATGCAACAATGAATGTTTTTTTTTGCATTTTCCTCTATACTCAGTTATAATAGGCAGATAAAGATTATTTGCTTCAGTAACCCTCACCATTTCTCCTGAATATCTGAAACAAGAATGTCAGACTCAAACTCTGATTGGTTTCCAATCCTGATCTCCAATATCCAGTTTCTTTCCTAAAAAGGACTAATTTTTACATATTAAATTTTTACCAATGCATCTTCATGATTTTGTTATTTATACCCATGCGGATTACTGCTGAAGTGGCTTTCAACCCTCCATCAAGACTAGACCTGCCTATGAGTTAGATATGAGATGTTACATTTTATGCTACTGTTAATGCAGAAATCGGGTATACACAAGATCCTTCCTGGAGTGCAGATTGATGACTTTCTCTTTGACCCATGTGGCTACTCCATGAATGGAATTCTTGCCAATGTGAGTCCCATCACCTTTGTGTCAGTGGTTCTTAGTCTTATAGATCATCAAGGAATTCCCTTAAAAGAATTAGATGTCATTTTATCTCCATGGGCTTTTGTCTTAGAGTTTTCATTCAAGCGTCTTTAAAAAAGTTACTGTTCTTTTTTTACTTTGTCTTGGATGATGAGCAGTATGAGAATATTTTACTATTGCAAAGTCTTTAACCCTTTCTCTGGCGTCGGTGTAGTTTTACGTCGACATCCTTGAAGTGTTCAGATATCACTGCCAGGGAAAGGGTTAATGAGCTTTTGAGAATATCTTTGTTTTGTCTTTTGAAAGCATCCATTTTTGAACTTTGACTTTTGGGATGTCTCTGAAGTGTTCTATGGCATTCAAATTACTCAGGAAAAGCATTGGGCATTGCTTCACTTGAATGCTGGAGTATACCACAAACTTGTTTCAGAGCTTGATCAATGCATGCATAGCATTATTATCTGTTGTGAAAGATACCATTTTAGGGACTGAAATAGGCAATAAAATAAGCTATTTGTTGATACCAAACATTCATTCCTCAGTACAGTGTATGGTTATTACTGTTGACCGCTAGACATAGGTTTTAACACTGCTTTGGACTGTCACCTGTCCCCATATTCTGAGACACTCACATAGCAATCCTGCTTAGCATTCTTCAGGATGACAGGAAGGTGACTGTCAAAATAACAATTGATGTACCATGAATAATGTACCATCATTTATTTTTCTAAAGATTGTGTATGTTTGATGTTGACTTACTTGAAAACTTAAGCACCATAGGGAAAGCCTGACCATTTAGCTAGTGACTGTAGCACTGCAGGTAAAACAATTGTATTTCATCTTCCAACTGCGAACATTGCACACATGTATATGTATTCTTGCTTTTTTGCCCTGCTTTAAGCTGAAAGAGATTGAAAGATGTTATTTAATTTTTTATTTTTTTGAGTCTTAGGGATGAAGAGGGTAAAGATGGATTGCCTGTTGATTCCAAGTGTTTGAGTGACAGTCTATAGGCACTGCCTCAATTAGTGGCTCAGAAGTGAGGGAAACGAGGCTTGTACCAATAAAGTAGCAAGTGCCAAATGGGTTGGACCCAGACCTTTTGGGGGCTGTCCTGAAGGCTGAAAAATAGAATATTAACTAGGATTGAATGTGGAAGGTTCAGACCTGAATGTCAAATGGTTGACTTTTATTCTCTTTCACTGTCCAGTCTAATACTGAAGAACTGATAATGAACAGGAAAATGTCAGATGCAGAGCCTTCATTATGGAAAACTCCTTGTTCAGATTCAAGTAAAAATCAAAGGCACAACCAAAATGAAATGCAGCAAGCAAGCTCTCAAAGAGAGCTGAGTGTGTATCAGTTGTCATAGTCCACCATTATTGTCAGGATCCTCTTTTTATGTTCCACATTTGTTTTTTTCATTTTGTTTGGAGGGAGTCGCTCTCAAGGTTTTCAGCCCATTCTTCATTAATCAATTGTACTTTTCACAGCACAGATAGGAAAGAAAAGATATTTGAATGACATTGTCATGCTTGAGGTGATGCCCTTTTTATCTGTGCTTCCTGATGCTTTTTCTGACTTTGTACTGTAAGGGAAAAGCCTCCTCCTGTCTCCCCCTCTTAGAAATAAAAATATACAGTATTCCTATACTTTGACTGTGAGGATCAAGCAATAGTCAAAAACAGTTCCAGACACGTTTTTTGGCATTCAAACCCCACTCCAGCCTTAAGACTGATCTGTTGGACATCTTTTATAACAACTCCTTTTTTCAGTCTTAGGTTTTTGTCAACACAACCTCAGTAAGGATTGTGAACTGCTAAAGAGAATGCACTTTATAATGGTATCTTGTTAAAATGTTTGTAGTGCATGTCTATTCTTCAAATTTTGCATTTTGGTAGAAGTGCAAAAGTTTTACTGACATCTTTTGTGCAAACCAATCTCACATAAGCAAGATGTATACAGATGAAATATAAAAAGTCATGAACTGATTGGACTACCTCAAAGTAAGAGTCAGAAAAGAAGCCTGTGTGATGTACTTGAAATTTCAAACACTTGGATGGGCTATTGAAGCTTGCTAAAGACAGGCTTCAATAACCCTTCCAAGCATTTCAATAACTTCAGTTGGAGTACCAGTATTAAAAAGGGTGGCTATCGTGTTGAGAAATAGCTGCTACTTATTTTCAAAGCATTTGCATGTTCTCATAAGATTTTGTTTTATATCTTGCAAGCACCTCATTTCATGAAATTGAAAACCTGTACCAATAGTGACCAAAACCTATACCTACACCAAGAAAGTCCATTCACTTTGAGAAGAGCTAGTTTCTTATCTCACAAAGGCTGATTGTTGTTGTGATTAATCAGTGACTGAGGGCAAGCAATTAGCACCTTCTCAACCAGCCCTGTTGTGTGACAGTTCGGAGATGCCAAATAGGGATATTCTCTCATGCCTCTACACTGACCTGTACTGCGGAAGAGAGAGGATGTAAAATGTAGGGGCCGTGGACTTTTTCTACTTAACATTTCTCAAGTTACCTTGTCAGGTACATCGGTGCCACATTCACTGATAAAATTTAATTTTCCTGTTTGAAGCATTCTCATCATTTCTGGCAACTCTAATTTTTCTCACAAGTCTGACATGAGACCTCAACAAGTGATTTATGATCCCCATTTGGGCGTGAAAAGAAAAATTGTCAGAAATCTCCTAATGAATTTATGACTTAATGGGTCCAAGGAATTGCTGCTGTCAACCTGGTTTGCCAACTAGCTCTTCTCAAAGTGAATGGACTTTAGTATTTTATTCATTTAATTTATATTAAATTCAAAATTTTCCTCTCCATTTGGTTGCATCCTGCATTTATGAGGTTTTTTCAAGTGTACAATTTCAAAAGAAGAAAAAATCTATGCCAAAATGTAAAATTTTAGCAGTTATAAGCAATGCACAAGGAACCAATAATTTTTTCAAGTGTTCCCTGACTCTAAAGAATCTAAAATCACAATGAACAAGCTATCCAAGTTCTCACATTTCCCTGGTGCTCCACCTTGGTGTGCTTCAATATGCCTGAATGTAGACAGCATGTAATCTTAGTTATGAATCTGGTTTTTGACAAAGTCCTCTTATATATTATTATGATTGCTCTGCTTTTATTTCAAATAAAGGATGCCAGTTAATTTGCTGAAATATCCCATACCAGCATCATACAAGCCTCATGTACATGCTCAGTCATATTGGTGTAACAGGCACAGGGTGCAGTGGGTTGGATTTATGAAAATATCAAATATTAATTAAGTTAAAATAAAACCTTTACCTTAACGTGCCCCAATTCCACTACAATGAATTCCCTTCCAGGAAGTCAGGTCCGGGCCAATTCAAATTTGAGCAGGAGTAACTAAGGTGTAATTCAAGAAAACAAAAAAAAAGTGTTTCCAAAAAAAAAACTAATAAAAAAAAAGACAATAGAAATGTTAGTCAAACAACCGGTCCAACCCCTTTACAGTATTTTCAATGACAATGGGCTGGTCTTCACTTCCAGATAAAACCTTGCAAGTTCTGGGGAAAATTCACGACCATCGAAACAAAAAGATCCTCTAACTATAATGTTTCTTCTCTGTATGTTTTTGAGAGAGAAAGGTGGCCAGTTTCAGAGCACCCACGATCAAAAGGGCCCGAGTACCCCGGTCAAATTGGTACTAACTCGAGTTCTTCAGTCACCTCAGAGTGAGGGATCGAGGGAGGGATCTTCAGCTGAAATCTTGCTGGATTGGAGGATAGGTTTGTAGATTAGACTTGATTGGAGGGACTTTGTACCCATTCACATAATGATATTATGGCTCCTTGTATAATGTTTGGGTAACACACTCGAGAAGAAGAAAAGAAAAGATCCTCCATTTAAACTGTAAGGAGCCCTTCCACGGGTTGGCTGACCCCAAACACTGGGTTCACCTCCATATTCATGCATCTCCACATGTCAATGGATGTTTTAGTTCACCTCCTTCAGCTTCCTCCCCACCTTGACTCTCTACTGATACACTGGACATTGCGCAATCATAGGCTGGCATACATTACTTTGGGGAGCATCAAAGTGGTGCAAAGCAATCCACATACCCCTCCTGGTGAGGAGTATGCAGTTTGTTTGTTCACTGTGATTATTGATACTCTGAACTCTGCAAAGCTGCTGCATTTGAAGCACAAGATAAAATATTTGGGCAAAATTCTTCCTAATAGGTCCAATATGTAATGTACAGAAAAATATGGAACTCACTTGATACTTGATTGAGATATTGAAAAAATGAACCAGCACAATTTTTTGTTGTGAGACACATTGCACAGGATGTAAGAAAACATAGCATTGTGCTACTTTTTGCCAAAGAAATATCTGCTTTTACTGATACTATTTTCACAAAGACTTGTTGATATATTTACAAGGAACTTATAATATTACATGAAAGTATGTCTTATCAAAGCTAGGTGATGTAAGGATTCAAAATTCGTTGAATTTTTGAAAATGGACAGGGACCCCAGGGAATTGAAGGGAGGTAGAACCCTCATGCTATAGGTGTGTGACAGGGATGTGGACAGTTGAATGATAATTTAAAAGAGGTTTGGTGAATGATGCAAAAGGGACCTCATGAAGAGTTTTTTGGTTGACAGTCTGAAAGGAAGAAGAGGAGGAAAATGCAACCATCAAATATACCTTTTTCTGGGCATGCAACTATCTTTGACTTCTACAAATATTCAAAAGGTGCCAAAGGAGGTCATGGCTGGGGAAAAAGTAAAGGGGGTGGACCTGATAAATTTCAATGAAGGAAGTTGACATCATGCAAGATGTGGCAGTAACAATGGATGTCATCATTGGGGAGGTCATAGTTATAACCATGGAACCCTCATCTGTTTAAAACATGATTAGCAGTAGGATGGAATAACAAAGACAAGAAAAAATATCCCATTGCTGCCACCATTTTTTATCATGATGGGAATACTGTAGAAAGGCAATTATTGATAACTTTAAAAAGTACAGCAAATGAGAGATTTATGGCTTTTGATCTTCAGAGTTTGCAAAGGGTCATAGTTTTTTTTACATCACAATAAAAAGTGTGGCAACAGTGGGAATTCGGCAGTGGGAACAAGACCAATAATTATTCTTCAATGGAAACATAAATGGGGGGGATTCAAAGGCCTGAAGACAAGTTGAGATGAGAAGAGAAAAGCAAAGTCTGACAGCTGATGACAGTAGAGTAAGTAGAAACTGTGAGAAAGGTCGCTCTAGGCATGAATGAGTCAGGCAGTTCATATACCCTGCTGCAAGGAGGGGGAAGGAAAGTGAAGGGGTCTGAATCCTGGCCAGAGTGCATTACCCTATCACAGATGCACTTGTGGAGTCTAGTCACTTGGCAAGGGGTTGGAATTCCCTGTCCATTTTTAATTTCAAAATGTTTCTGAATAATAATATGTAGCCTTGCTCTTGCAGAACAAATTTGCATGAAATGTCAGAGTGATGTTGAAACAATATCAGTCTATACACAGTGCAATTTTTGTAAGAATGGCTCCAGTAAGTGTAGAGGTGTGAAAGTTAAAAAGTCATGGGTCTTTTTTTTCCTATACCCTGTATAGGGTGAGTGTTGGGGATGTTGGTACTTTAAGCAAATTGTTCACTTCCACCTTGCCTAGTGGTTTCTGTAATGGGGGCTCCTTGTTCACATTGGGTTGGGTTATATTTATATTATAAACTTCATTGCACTGTACACCAAGTGCCCTAGGCCTTTCCTTTCCAAGGGCCTGGGTCAAAGGTGTAGTTGGGTTGGATGTTGGGAATCCCAGCTCACTTGCTGGCATAGTTGGCAGTTCTCAATTTTCTGTTGAGAATCTCAACAACCCTAAGTATCACTGTAATTTACAATGGACTCCAAAATGAATGCAACAAAGAAATGAAAGCAATACCTGGTTCGAAAGAGAAGAATGGGAATAGCAAAATCTCAAGGTTTTGCTGGATTTTTGGAGTGTGCTTAGCGAAGGCAGCCACTGTGATAAAACTACTACAGCAAATGGGGCTATTCTAAGTACACGTCAACAATATTAGTTCCACCATCTCAAAATAGATGTCTACTCATACCTAGGGGACTGGCAATGGAAGCAGAAGGTTGATGACCACAAAGCATTGAGATTACCCCAGTGCCAATATTCGCAACACTCACCCAATAGGTTATAGTGCAGATAAGGCATTCTGCATTTCATTTGAATGGACATGTATATAAGGCTCTTTTTCCATATTTCCTGCAATCTTGAAGGAGGAGGCTTCTTCAATGAATGTGAGTTTTTAACTTCATCCATTTCTGCTAATTACAGGCTTTTTTAAATTTTTGGCTAAGGAATAGGCAAAGAGAGAGGGAAATGATCTTGTCACTAAACCTAGCATTTCATTAAACTTCTAAGACTTGGGTGACATATGTAGATGCCAATTCCTTTGGGTTTTTTTTTATGAATCTGAGGTGGTTAACAGTGGATTTGCAACTTAGTAGTTGATTCCTACTCAGAATCAGGAATGGCAACTTCAGTGAAAGTTGGGGCAAATGAAATGTGAGGCAAAGATCAGCAAGGAAACAAGAGCAGTGTTTCTTAACCTAGCAACAATAATCATCATGCATATAGAGTCAAGTTGATGATGAATGTAGTAGGGCTGCTATCACTCTGGTTTTCATCCAGATTCTCAGGTCCTGTCTGAGATCTAGGTAAGAACCCACTCAGTGCTGCAAAGCCTCTGGTTTTGCTGTTTGTTCGGATTTTTTTTACTGCTTTCAGTTTTAAAAGCTGTAATTTTTCCTTTGGCTATTGAATACATTTTGGAAAGGCAACAAGAGGGTGAGGTAGGTCAATTGTCATGGATATAGACCTATGCCAAGTTATCTTGTCGTTCAAGTTTCATAGGTGACTGCCTCATGTTGACAGACATTTACCTCTGTGATTGATGGCTGCATTTTCATTGCCCCTGGGTTTTGACTGTTATTATCTACCTTGATCATAATATACAGGGTGTCCCATAAGTCACTATACCATTTCAAAAATTCACATCTACCAAACAGTTGGGACAGAAAAGAAGTAACAATAACTGGACAATAGCATGTCATTTGGAATTATCTTTGTTAAAAATTGAGGTATTTCTGAAGTTTGAAAGTGCTTCAAAATGCCCTCCGTCTGTGTCAATATATTTTGCATGAGGCTCATGACCAAAATATTTCCAAAACTCCCTTTGGACTCTGATGGGACTCTCAAAGACCTCCTTCCAGGTAGCAACATTCCTCCGTTGCTCAAGTGCCAATTGTGAAGCCTTTTCTCATGACCGCAAAAGCCAATTAAATGATAAATTAAACAATTAATGAAAGCAAATTAAATATTTTCTGTTCCTTACGTCTGTCTGGAATTAGGAGCGAAAACATGTTATTTTGGCATTTTTGCCCAAGAGGATTCAACAAGGTGTACCATAAATCACCCAAAAGACATGCACCTTTCTGACATGCTTTTGGAGCGATTTCTGTTTGAGTCTGATTCCAAGTCATTATTGTGAAAAAAAATCCTAAAGAACGTTCATTCCATCAATGCTAAGAAGAGTGACCTGGTTGTTGCAGGTTGGAAAATATTGCAGTTTGAAATGGTATAGTGACTTATGGGACACCCTGTATAGTTAATTCTATGCTGAAAACCACTCTTGCTGCTCATCAATAGAATTAATAGATGAGATCAGAGGGGGAAGCTGACAGTAGAGGAAGTGAGGTTTGAGCAGGTGCTAAAAGGGGTCTAGTCAGATGGGCCCATATGATAGGAATTTTAGTTCAAGGTTGCTAGAGTCAAGAAAATTAAAGTTCAGATGATTTGTCAGTTATATTTCTGTGGAAGCACAGCTATCTCTCCTTATCTGTAGTTGAGGCAGCTGTGTTCTTCCATGAATATTTCCTCCACCCCTCTTACAACTTAATCAATATCCCCAATGGGTTGTACAAAAAATTACCTCCCCCCTCTGGCTTGTCATCCTGAAGCCACTACTGTGTTTTTGAGAGAATTTATTTTCACATTCTGCATTTTTCCTTGGGGCTCATTAGAGGAGAGAAAATTCAACAAATTGAAAGAGACACTCTCTCTTTCTCTCTCTCATCAATAATCAAGTGATATATGCACATTTTGTATCATGGTGTTTATAAATTTAATACATTTTTTTCTCAAGGAGTTTCTAGTATCAAATGTTTTGATTCATAAATCCCAACAACCCCCCCCAAAATGACCTGTGGGGGGTCAGGAAACAAATGCACCTTAGTCTACACAGATTTCTGAACCTCAGGCCTGCCTAGGGTTGTAGCATATATCACTAATGATATATGCTACAACCCTGATCACTAATGAACCACAGATATGTCAGGGAAGTAGAGCTATTCTCAGCCAAAGCATCAAAAAAGCAAAGACAAAGGGGACAGTCAACTAAAGCCATTTGTGAAGAATAGGCCATTAAATGGTAAAAAATTAACTGCTTTTAGATTATTGATGCACTCTTCTGGGGAGTGAACAAAAGGAAGTTGCAATTATGCCAAGTCATGGAATGGTCTCAAGATACTCAAACACCATCATACACCAATGGATCTGAAGGAAATGGACTTAATATCCTGGGGAGTATGCATTGCAGTACCAAAGCAGAATGCAAAGAAAAATACTTTTTCATCTCTTCATAGCAATGCAAGGAGCAGAGATGACCACCCTCACCCTGTAACCTTATAGCCACATAATCACATCTGATGTGGATCTTGAGCATCAGATTTGTGTAACAGCATCAACTGTTGCAGATCAATTCGAAGAGGAATATGTAACTATTTTTAGCAAAATATTTACAAATTTATTGTGAAATTCCTTATTTAAAAATGTCACCAGTGAGTGCAAACCCTCAGCACAAGTTAACATAAAGACATTAAAGCACAACAGAAGTTCTTTATGTTCTATGTTGACTCCTGCTCACTTCTTGGCATAGAGGTCCTTATGCAATGGTATGTTAATGGTGGAAACTTGCCTGTATGCTTTACATCCACATTGAAGCCACCATATTGCAGGAATTGTAATGCATTTCAGTATTACCTCATCTTGAGCTTTTTACCTTACCCCCATCCCTCAATTTCCATTATTTAAAAATCTTTAAGAACTTGGTTCATTGATGCTTGCTTGAAGAGTATTTTTTGGAGGATATTCCTTGGGTATGCTTAACTCACTCTTTTCTTTTTTGTATGATTTGGTGATTGGATGCATTGTTGGTGTCTTGTTTCTGTATCCAGGGGAGTTACATGACAATTCATGTTACACCAGAGCCACACTGCTCCTATGTTTCATTTGAAAGCAACATCCCAATGGCTTCTTATCGGGATGTCCTGGTTCGTGTCCTGGCCTGCTTCCGCCCTGCTAAGTTCATCATGACTGTATTTGCCAACAAGGTCTGTTTCTACAACATCTCTGAATTTTCTTTTTATGCTATATTTACAACCATGCCATGTGTATGGGCATAGCAAAAAAAGACCAATAAGTTTAAATCTCAATATTGACACTTTTACTTGGGCTAGTTTTTGCAATATGGACTTATCAAGAACATGGTTAGAATTACCATCAGTCATTCAGTTACTTACGATCATCTACAGCAGAGTGATGCACAACCTGCGGGCCACATGCAGCCTGCTGGGACTTTTTTGCGGCCCCTTGGATGCTTTCAGTCTCTAAAGATCCATATTTATATGTGGCCTATTTCAGCTCATGTTTAAGGGCCTGCAGCCCTCAAACCCCTCAAACGTGAGCCAAAATCTCAATTTGGCCCTGGTTATTTGGTTGCCATGGTAACCAGATAACCTCCTTAAATATGCAAAAAACCTGTTGACTGCTACAGCAACTTTATTTTTCAACCAAATTGAGCATTTTGATGCATTTTGGAGAGAATATCCCATTCTATGCAACTAACCAGAAAAATCCACCACATTTTGCTCCATAATTGAGTTTTTGGCAGAATAACTGGGAATTTCAAGAATTCTGATTTAAAATTTTTGGGATTCTATCTGGGAAGTTATAGATATACATGCTTACTTTGATATTAATGGCTCTCATTGCACAGTTCAGTATGTCAACAGCCTCAATACATCAAAAATAATGAAAAATTTAGTTGTTGGATGAATGCAATTTTCACAAGAAACAATGAATCAAGTAAAATGAAATTGAAGTAGAACAAAGTCACACATCACCAGAGTGCACTTTGATAGCAGTTCAGGATGCTTCAGATAGGTAAACTATATCCTTTGTTTCTTTTTTGTGCTCTTGTTCATTCTGAACTGCCTTTTGTTCTACCTGAACTTTTTGGCAATTTTGATGCCTTTCTGACACTGGCACCCACTGGTACAGTAGTTTGCTATAAAGACCAGGTTTGATGCCTAACTGATGTAGGACATTCAAATGACCAGCCTTCCCATCATTAAACAATTTCTTGTTTCAAAGTAATGTTGTAGAGAATCAACTTCTGAACATTTCAGTGGAAAAGTTATGTTTATAGCCCTAATAGCCCATGAATTATAAGTGAATTAATATTTAATAAGCATTTAAGTCATTAATTCAAACTTTGCAGCCAGTTTTATGCCTGACTTGACTCATTAATTAATTTTTTTCCTGGAAAAGGCTGACAAATTTGTAATAAAGTATAATACTCCATGAATAATTTGCTGAAATTTCTAAGATTTTAATTTTTTGGTTGAAAATTTCATTTTCCAACCCCTTTTCCCCTTGGTGCATTGAAATTGATTTGGTACATGTGGAAGTATAGCAAAAGTTGTAAGGTTACATTTTCTCATCTAACATCTAATATATATAGACGATGGTGACTGACTGACGCTAATTCTAACCATGTTCTAGAAAGGTTAGAAATCTGAAACTTGGTACACATGAACCTACTGGGATGCAGAATTCAGAAAAAATCTGACATCGGAGGTACATGCCCTGGGGGTGCACATTTTGGAGGGAGAAGTTTTTAAATACATGTATATATTGTGATGGATGAGGATGGCATTAAGAGGCTTAACTGGATGTCCCAGGTTCGGTGGTGTAGTGGTAGCACACCTGACCGACAATCAGGAGGCCCGGGTTCAATTCTCAGCCATTCCTTGGCTTTCTTTCGGCCTCTCATGCCTTCCAAATCCCGTTACTCATTCCCCCTCCATAACAATATTTTTGCTTGAGCAAAACAGAGAGACATGTAAAGCTTAAACTTGGCATGGACCAGATGAGACGATGAGTTCAGGAAAAAGAAAAAAATTTTGGATCCATGCCTTGGGGGCCGACATTTTCAATTAATTTTTTTTTTTGTCCTGGCATATTGAGCTAGTGTGGAAAGATGAAACTTGGTATGTAACTACCTATTGGGATGCTACATGCATAAAAATTCAGACTTTGGAAGTAAATGCCCTGGGGGCACAAATTTCAAAGGGAGATGTTTTCAAATAATTTTTTTGAGTCAGTTAAACTGATGAGCATGGAAAGCTGAAACTTTGCATGAATGTGACTACTGAGACAAGGAGTTAAAGAAAAATGATACATCCCCTGAGGGAATTTTTTTAAGGGGTGATGTTCAAAAAAAATTTTTTTGCCATGGCAAATTGAACAGAATTGGAAAGGTGAAACTTTGCACACATATAAGTGACATGATATTGAGTTGAGGGAGTATTCAGCTTTCATGGTGCATCCCCTCTGGGCATAGCTTTTGGGTGGGTCAGCTTTTCCAAACATGGTTTTTTTCCAGCGAAAAGGGCAAACGTAATAGGTTGAAACTTTGTGGGCTTGTAGTTCTCAGGATTGATTTCAGTAAAAAAATGGTACTTTTCGGTTAAAACGCCTCAGGGCACTTATTTTCCAAATGGCGTATTTTCTCGAATTTTCTGATCCAGCAAAACAGAGGGCACTAAAATGTTTATACTTGGAAAAGAAGAACCTGGTGGATAGCTGAGTAAAGAAAAAATTCTGCTTTTATTATATATAGACGATCGTGAGTAGCTGACTGACTGACATAAGTAGCTATTTGCATGCTGAGTTCAGGAAAAATTCTACTTTGGTGATACATGCTATTGGGGCACACCTTTTCGGGGAACATATTTTCAAATAGTTCTCTTTGCTTCAATCAAATGGAGGCATATTTCTTGGGGGCGTAACATTTTCAAAGAATTTTTCATATCCTAGCGAATCAATCGGGCAATAATAGAAAAGTAGCATCTGGCGCACGTATAACGAACATGATGTTGATTTAAAGAAAAATTCAACTTTTGTTGTGCGTCTCCTCAGAGCACAGCTTTTGGGTGGGTCACTTTTCCAAATACATTTTTTACCGCCAGCAAAAAGGGGAAACATATAAGGCTGAAACTGGGTGGCATGGAGTTCCCTGAGTCTACATTTCAGAAGAAAAAAAATATTCGTTAAAACCCATCAGGGCACTTTTTTTGTAGGTACCATTTTCCTGAATTTTTTTTGATCCAACAAAACAGAGACAGAAANTTTGATCCAACGAAACAGAGACAGAAAATTTAAACTACCCTCAGCAGTACCTATTTGATGGCTGAGTACAGGAAAAATCCTACTTTTGAAATATGTCCCCTTAGCGTAGATTATAGGAGGGAAGTATTTCAAAATGTATTCTCCACCATTACAAAAAGGGACACATGAAAAGATTTCAAGTTAGGCACACTAGAAATCATAGAAGCAATGATTTTGATAAAAATCAAGACTTTCGTCCCCATATGTCACATATTTCAATGGAGATGTACTTTAAATACGTGTCTGCCATTTCGCAAAGAATAAATGAATTAATCACTATCCAAGGTAATGGAGTGCCGAAGGCGTGACCATGGCAAGTTTGTTTGCCAAAAGGGCATACTGTACAGGTATATTCGTGACTGAGTGACTGACTGACTGATGCCAATTCTAACCATGTTCTATAGAAGTTAGAAATCTGAAACTTGGTACACAAGTACATATTGGGATGTAGAGTTCAGAAAAAATCAGACTTTGGAGGTACATGCCCTGGGGGCACTAATTCCAGAGGGATATATTTTCAAATAATTTTTTTTTTGCTTCAGTCAAATGGATAAACATGGAAAGCTGAAACTTTCCATGAATGAGACAAGGAGTTCAGGAAAAATGTCAAGTTTTGATTCATCCCCTGGGGGCATATTTTTTTTAGGGTAACGTTTTCAAAGAATTCTTTGTCTTACCAAATTGGGCAGAGCTAGAGAAGTGAAACTTGGGACATGTGTAATTGAGGTGATGTTGAGTTCAGAAGAAAACTCCACTTTTGTAATGCATCCCTTCAGGGCACAGCTTTTGGCTGGGTCGGCTTTTCCAAATATATTTTTGCACCAGCAAAAAGGTCAAACATAAGACTGAAACTTGGTAAGCACATTGTTCTCTGAGTACTGATTTCACTAAAATTATTTTTCAAGGAAAACCCCTGCTGCTGCATTTTTTTGCAAAAGGTGTATTTTCATAAATCCAATGATAGAACTGAAGAAAGTTGAAGCTTGGAGCAGAAATACCTGTTTGATTGCTGAGTGCAGTTCATACTTTTCACATTTGTTCCCTCAGGGCAGATTATAAAGGGATTTTAAGTTAGGTGCACAATAAATTATTGGAGTAATTATTTCAATGAAAATATCGGTTCCTCCTCTCATGGCTCACATTTAAACAGGCACATACTTTTAATATGTTTTTGCCCCTTCAAAAACAAATAAATGAATGAATGACTATCCTGGACAATGGAGCACCAAAGGTTTGAAATAAAACTTCTGAAGTGCTTTGAAGAATGATGTATTTCTTTTGCATCAATCTCTTCCACATTTGGAGAAATTAATTTTTGGTACTTGGGAGTGACTTTTGAATTCCTCAATGTATTAGATGAATTTTAACCTCTTACAATGGATTTATCCATCATTGAGATTTCTTCTATAAAAGCCTATGTATGGATATTTATATTTTATGTTAAAATTTATCTGTACCAAGAATATTCAACTGCAATAAAACAGTATGAATGTTAACTGAAAAATTGTTTTAAATGAAAAATCAACATACTTTGCTGGGAAAAAAACTCATTAGTGGTAAACCTGTGGATTGAAAACTCCCTTAACAGTTAAAAGGTTAATCCTGCAACTACCATTTTGGGACCAATGGACCCTGATGCAAAAATTAAAAAATTTGTGTTGACTGCACAGTTAACTTGCTAGGTCCAGCACTCCATGTATTTTCATGAAGGCATGTGATAGTGATTAGGCAAAGTGTTTTGAAGAGTTTCTTTTTGGAATGAAGAATTGAACAAAAGTGTTAAGCATCTGGATTCTGGTAGTTACTGGATTAAGTACAACTTCATTTGTTGCACATAACATTATTCATCAAGATGCTGAAATCTGGAATGACAGGGAAAAAATTTTTATGGGAAAGGAAGTGAAAAAAGCATCATAAATGCACTGCAAAATGTGTTATGCTGAGTTGATTAAAAAAAACTGTCCAAGAAAATTGTTTTTTTTTACAGATTTAATTCTAACTGCTGTACCTGTTACAGTTTGTGGGTTTCCATTTGACTTCTGTATGAACTAGACTGATAGGCAAGTCATGTTTCATAATGATTTATTCTTCTAAATCAGCTAACAGTAACCAAAGTCAGTTGAGTGGGGAGTCAGTTGTGTCCTTTGCATGATGCATTGGATTGGTTCATGGCAGCTTTGAATCATACAAAGCTTGTCTGGGAAGGGTAATTTGGATGCATTGGATAGAATATTTTATCCATGCTCTGGTTTCTTCCAACAAGGGTTCGGTGGCTTTGAGTAGTCACAAGGAGTTGGATGGAGCTACACACATTGGAGCCTACCAGCGCAAGGATCTGCACAGTTGCCAATTCCACAAGTATCATCTGACTTATGCACACTACGTCAAGTTTCCATCTTGAGGGTTACTTGGAGGAGTGCCTCCAAGCCTCGGAATCCTCCCCAGTAGTCCTCCTCCTCCTCTCCTTGTAGTTATCCCCAATGTAGTCATGTTTCTTCAAGGACATGTTGTTCATTGTCGACCACGTGACACATTCTCCTAGAGACAGATGCTTTTCCTGTTGGAAAAGGAAAGAAAAGGAAATTTCCTCTGTGAGATCATTTGGGTTGGGCCATTCATGTGAATTCCTGACTCAGATGGCATTTGGGAGGCTTCCTTCCAGTTTCCCCTGAGTCTGGCATTTGAATCACATGAGTCTGCAGTGCACCTACATGCACAACATCAGCTCACTATTGTCAATTCATCCTCCTTGTTTCCAAGAGGGTCTTGATGCACCCTGCTTTGGATGAACCATGCTTGTCATCTCACTTATAAATTGCGCTAATGTTTTGCCATGCAGAAGATCGTGATCATGCCAACGTTTCTTGGCAAGAATGTTAACCTTGACAGAAGCTTGTCATTGGCAAATGGGCACCGTGCATTTCCCATCCAGATTGTGAATCTAGGTACTCCACTGTATTCAGGGCTTTGGAGCCTGCCATGTGATATTCCTGTGAATTATTCAGCACCCTTAATTCCAATCCTATTTTTATTTTCTTGTTCAAGATTGTTGCATGAAGAACTCATGATCATTCAGAGCAAGAAGTTCATTAAGGTATGCTGAGTTATTCTTTATGTTGTATGCTGTTATCCTTTGACTGGGAGATGAAAGACCTTATTTAGTTGAATGGGATATGAAGGTTTCACTGTCTCAACCTGGATGTGTTTCTTTTTGTTGCACCCTTGCAGTGAACCCAAAGAACTCATTCATTCCTTGTTATTCTTCATTCACTCCAGTCATCTAGAATGGTAGATATCTGAATCCAGAATAAGACCTCATGATTATACCATTCATTTGTGACACATAAATGCATTTCCTGAAAACAAGTGATTGGATGGCTTTGCGAGAACTAATGAGTTCTCATAAAAATGTCTCATATGCCATGCACCACCTCAGTTGGTTCTTCTCTGACATACACTACTGCATTGGAAAAACCATATCAGGATGGAATCCAAAGTGATTTATTGCTATAATAGTTTTGATGCTCTGGTTTTGGCTGGAACTGTTGAAAATACCTGAAGGATGTCAGCAACATGAAAAACACGAGGGACTTGCTGAAGTGGCAGTTTATTAGCAAAAACCAAACATTTTAAATAATCTTCCATTTCATTCCTGAGCAATGACTGATTGCTATCACTAATTTATTTCTTCAGAAGCTTTGCTGCATTCAGTTATAGAAAATCTCATCATAATGAAAAGCAGGACATTATACAAATTATTCACTATGAGAGATTCTTGTTGTGAGATTCTTTGCAATCTGGGTATTCAACCAGGGATACAAAATTGCTGTGCTATAAGGAGAATTTTTGTTTTATCTGAATGAACTATGATGAGGTTCTACTGTACAACTTCTTTAGTGAATATGCTCTCAGGGTGCTCAGAATGTTGCAGAAATTATTTTCTAAATCACTTTTAGTACAACTTGAGACTGATTCAACAAGCACATAGCACATGTCAGCCATCACATTTGAATGAATTCATATTATCTGATCATCCCTTGGGCTTGCTAAAAGACAAGCAGGGAAGGTGGGGGAACACCCAAAGTTCAGAGTCATCCCTTGCTGAAAGTCCTACATGTCATGCCTTCTTGACTTTTTCAAGCTTCATGTATTTGAGCAATGCCTTAAAGAGGGTACTGAAGTACTTAACTCTTGGACTATGAGCAATGCATAAGATGGGAAGGCAAACATTGCCTGAGACAAGGGTCTTAAGAATTTCGCTGCCAACGAATAACATTTATGGACATTTGTGTCTAACATCACATGGCCTGATTTTTGTGCCTCATCAGTATGGATCCTCAGACTTATTGAAAAATTACTGGACCCTTCTGCATATCAGTCACTGGACATATTGAAGCACCTGAAGAAGCATCAAAACTGATAGCATTGCACTGCAATTAATCATGCAAAATGAATTTCCTTCTCAAATTTTCTCTTACTTGACTAGTTTCAGAGGTGTATGCCATCATCTGAATATATTGGCTATGTGTAGAGTTTTTGGCTTACTAGCATAATTCATCATAAAATATGAAGATGCATCCTTGAAGGAATTTGACTAGTAAAGTAAAATCCAGACCAATCAAGCAAAATTAAAAGGAAAAGAGAAGACCTCTCATCTTTGTTCTTTCAATTTTGCTTTACTAAGTTAGTGGGTAATATCCCTTTTGATCATAACTCATAAGGTCTTTTTTTGCTAGCTGCCTTTGCAATTGCAAGGGTCAGAGCACTGGAAACAGGAATGCAGCCATGGCTTCTCTTTTAGCTTCCTGTCAATAGAAAAAGGAAGGAGGACCTGAAAGAGCTTAACATAGAGAGTGTAACTAGAAAAGACACTACGAGAGGTAGAGGAAGATGGGGGTCGAAATATTAGGGACATCTGCTTGCCATCATTAACATTTCCGTGAGAGTGCTTCAGCGTAATACGCTTGTTTCGTCGAGTCCGATGCTTGGCCATGAAGGAGTTAATGATGTAAGCACGCTAGGTGGAGGATTGACAGCGACATCTATATTGCGACCCTGTTAATGAATAGGATTCGAGCGGAGTGTCGCTTCTAGGTACACTCTCTACTCAATGGCTTTACCCTGTGCTTCAATGTTTTCGTCGGCCTATCAGAATTTTATTTTTAGTCGTTTGGAAATCGCAATTTTCGTTTTCGTCATTATTTGTCAGAGCAAAAGTAATCTCAATCATTTTATTCAAGTCAGGACGTCATTATTTTAGTCATTTTCGTCCACATTGTGACTTAATTTTTGACATTTTTTCTCGAACTAAATTTTCGACCAATTTTGGTTTTTAATAAATGTGTTCCGACGAAATAAAACATATTTCTCGTATTTCCATGAATGTGTCATCCCAGCAAACATAGTAGCGTTGTGGCAACGTTCCCCTAGAGTCAATAGGTCACATCTCGTTACAAAGAATTCAGTTACAACGAAAATCTCACTAACAAAAATATTTCCAAGCCCCTGCCGATGGCCCTTAGTAATAGTACTTTGTAGATCTCGTTACAACAAAGTTCGTTACTACGAATAATTCAGTACAGCGAACGCTTTTTTCCAGTCCTTGTACGTATAATAGTCACTCGTTATAGCGAAAAAATATATAATACCTGATTGTTTACGAAGAGACGATCGTCTATGGTTCGCTCCTTCCTTTTGGACCTTGAGAGAGTCAGAATGCTCTTTTTCCCACGCTTGCGGCATAAAAAGTGTTAGCGCTAGGAGGAACGTACAATACCCACATAGCACAGTGATATCCCAGGGATGTCCCTAACTGGACGACTTGTCCCCTGGTCCTCCCCTGGATATCCTGAAGACATCTTCTTTCGGACGGTTTCAGACATCTCGTAAGGGATGTCTTCGGGATATCTTTAAGACATCTTCAGTCGAACGCTTTTCGATATCTTGAGGAGGATGTCTTTAGGCATCTTCAGTGCTTTCTGTCGCCTTCAGTCAGGTGCATAGCTTCGACGGTAGATGTCTCCCGTGGGCCCTGATCTTCAACCTTAGATCTTTTCTGTCAAATTGATCTTGATTTGTCCTGAGGATAATTAAGTTTGTTCGTACCGTACATCAGGGAAAGTGAAAAAATTGCGGTTCGAATTTTAATTTATTCCGCTATATTGGACATTCCGATGAGTGATCGGTATGTCTGGATACAACTATCTTGGTTGGAGGCCTGAGCCCATACTAACTTTTATTCAGAAGGCGTAAGGCTAAATCATCTCGCCCATGACCCCTCATTTAAAGGTACAAAATTTCGTCTCATGGAGATGTGTCTCCTATGATGGGGCCCTTTTAAGAACAGGATTTTCTTACCTATAATTGTCACTCTTCAATCGGTCAAGAACTTACGATTAGGAGTTCCTGGATCAAATAGAGACATATTCGAAAGTAATGGGTTCTCCTGTGCGGTAGGAAATGAATCCATTGCGGATAGGAAGGCGTCAGGAAGTACTAGCTGGGACTCCTCACTTGTCCCAAGGGATATCTCTCGGACATCCTTCGGATATACAGGGTGCGGCCGATCTTTTGGCAGTGAAATTAGAAAGGACAAATATGTGCTTAATTCTGGTAATACTCAACCGTTTTTAAAAAAAAATTGAAACAGTGCCTCTTTCAAGAATAAGCCACCAATTTATTCGAAAAAGTCCCCGGCGTTTTTTATGACTGCCTCGATTCTGGCGCGAAACTTAGAGCAGGCCCTTCTTACGGCGTCC